AGATTGCATGGTGTCCTGGTGCGGGCGGACATGCGAGATGTGGGACGATGGTGATGATGGTCGCGTGCATTCGGTAGATGATTAAGGACTAGCGTCAGGTATGAACTGCAAACTTCTATAAGCCTTAAAGTCTAAGCAAACATGCAACGGAAAAGCCGCAATTCGATAGTCGCCGATGATTGCTCTGATCAGTGAATCTTGAAATTCGGTGTGAAATGTTTGTAAAGGAAAAATGGCTGCAGAAACGATCCAAATTTTTCAAACCATGAAACGAAAATGAGGACAGTCCAAGGGAGCCTGAAGATCAACGATCCGTCATGATTCTAATGAAATCTTAAAATTTTGAAATGATATTTGGCATAAATCGGATACCGCCTACAGGCAGCAAGAATGTGAAATGAATGGCATGTCAAAAAAATTTTCTCGGTAATTCTAATGATCCACCGTTTCGGCAACAGCGCAGAAAAACAGCAACCGATGATCAAATGCACGTCAATTTCTCCCACGTGCTAGGCAAACAGGCATGCCAGATATCACGGAACACGAGACAGCCAACGGCATGTTGACTCTACCTGCGTGGCTGTAAAAACGTGCGATATGCCCGTCTGTTATTAGTGAATAGCATCTGTCCACCAAGACGAGTTAGCATTTGCTTGGCTTTCGCACGTACCTCAGAGGAATGCCTTCGTCTCCTTCGACATGTTTTGCTAACCTTTATGACAGAGTTTCCGGTTACACTGAGTCCAACAGCGTATTCCCTCACGGCGTTCTGATTTTTTGTCCACTTATGGTTGACGCTCCTTCAGCAGTCTGTTCTCCACCGTTGCCCAAGTAATCTGACCATCAGATGATTCCAGTGTGTTTCTGAACGACCGAACAGACAATTGTGACTGATCGGAACTCAGTTTGTAATTCTTGACCACCACCGGTTGTCTCTCATGCGAACAAAGTTGCCGGCCACATCTTCTGTTGGTGTCGCCGAAGGCAGAAATGACGTTCACTCCTCCAGTTAGTTGTAGAACTTGATCCCGGAGCGACACGCCGCACGTTCCTCGCTCCGTCGCCTTCCTGTTTCATATGATCCCCGTAAGTGCAGTTTGCTCACGTACGTACTGATGAGCGTAAAAAGCTACCATGTGGAGTACTTAATGCCAGGGAAATGGTGTGTAGTCGTGTACCACCAGCATTAAGCTATGAAGCACCCGGTTAATTTAATTTTTTTCAGCCTTGACGAGCAGATTATCCACTTCGCCAAGTCACGTATTTCGAAAAAAAGATTCTTTGATTAGCTACCGGGAGGGAAGGATTGGGGTCATTTCCTGGGTCTTCTCAAAAAAAGGATTCTGTCCTGTACATTAACGATCCGATTTCAGATTGCATTTATGCGTAGAACTAATACGTTATTAATATGCCGTGAAATCTGATCTTGGAGAAGTTACGCATTATTTGAAATACTCTGGCATGTCAACAACGTATAATGTCCATGCTGTAGTGTGTAAAGTGTACTAGCTCCTGAAACAGTGTTCCTGATGAACACGAACAAAATGATGCATATGTATCTGGCAGTACATGCTGAAATGTCATGTAGATATGTCCAGCTTAAATGCCCCCAAACAACTAGGAGAAAGGGGGTCACACATTATGACGTAAAATCTGACCATGGATGTGTGATGCGCTATTTGACTTTGACTAACTGCCAGATCAGTAATTAACATGAAGATGACCATAGCCAGCGTAATCATTTCAAATAGTATCTTTTCACCTTGCTAGGATTTGGCTAAATGCACAGAGGTACCTTCCATATCTCTTGATCAAACACG